TTATTACTATGAAACCAAACTCCACACTCGTAATAGAAATCTTCCTCGGAGAGGTTCGTTATGGTTCAGAACGACAACTTTTACCTGGGTTGACAATACACTGGGAAAGTAAACACAATTACCAACGTTACCGTATCGTCATAGAATGGGGACCGGAACCCTCACTGATATCACAACCCTTAGTAAACCTCTATGGGGTTCGTGTAGACCAAGATTTACCAATTATAGTCTCACCTATTTACGTGTACAATAATCTAAAACTTATAAGCCTCAAATACATTAAAAAGAAATTAATGAAAAACCAATTAAAAAATATCTTATAAAATATATTATACACACAGGATGGGGCTGTACCCAGTCGTAGAAGAAGTAGCAAAAACAATGGAAAATGTAGATGGGTTTCGGTTGAGGCAGTTATGCGACGTAAAACGCCAACTAGAACAAGATCGCGATATACGGGCGTCATTAAGTAAGAAATACCATAAACCTTTCAATTTCGTGGATGGGGCTGATACCACCCTTATGGCAACCAGCATGGGATTAGGAGCAGTAGGTGTCGGTTTGTTGACCACCATCGTAGCCGCACCCATAGTGCTGGGCATTGAAATAACAGCTGGGGTGTCAGGGTTGGTGGGGTTGGTGTTTAAGTTTGCATCTCTCAAGTTACATCGTAAAGCGTTGAAACATGACGAAATTAGAATTCTGGCCGAAGCAAAGTTAAACACAATAGACGACCATATTTCCACCGCACTCACTGGCAATAAAATCTCAGAGGAAGAATTTCGTTTGGTCCTCTCTGAACTCGCAAAATATCAAGTCAAAACATTGATTACACAACAGTCTCGTTTCCTGTTGACTGGGTTCCGCCCTATTGCGCAACTTAGTACAATAACCAGTCCAGAATTTTTTAGACCAATTCATGTAACTGGATACATAAATATTAATCAGTATTATTTGATACATCTAAGCACTTGTATATTACAATACTACGCTCCTTATAATCCTTGCAAACATGTTGAGCAGCATGCTCTGTCGTACAGCGAGCACTGACAAACAGAAACCTGGAAATCGTGGAAATCTCAAAACGAGGCTCTGCAGTTAGAAAAGTTTGGCGGTCTGGTACGGACTTGATATTATATCAATCACATTGTGCATAACAAACCTACACTGGATAAGCGCAAAAAACACATAACAGGTGTAACCAGTGAGCCAGATGCATTGTGAATCATTTTACGACCTCATCAAACTGGGGCAGTCTGAGACGTCTTAGTTAAAGTCATGCTGCCTACACATCGCCATAAAATATAGAAATACAATGTTATTAAAGTCTAAAATTGAAATCCAGTTGTAAATACCATTTTCATATGAAACAAGGAACTGGAATTCAGTGCAACCATAGTTGTTTGTGATGTCTATTTTCACGTTCACACTAGAAAATTCCAATCGGCTGATAAGTAGGTCATTGTCTGAATAAGTTAGTGAGACTCATGTTTCAGTTTGACAGAATGAAACAAGAGATTAGGTCCAAGTCTCGTAAAAGCAATGCCATCAGTGAAGACGAGAAAAAAAAGGACATAGAACAAGGGATACAACAAGCCCAACAAGCTTTCATTACGAAAACCAAAGAAGTCATAGGCGATTCACATTAAATTGTTTCGCTGAGATCAACATTGTATAGGGCGGTCACAATAGTGGCACGTGACCAGGAAAGTGCCGATTCGCGGTCATAGCTTGGCTGGGGATTCAAAAGTGGCATGCACACTAGCGGGGAGAGATAAGGGACTGACAAAAGCTTTATTTAATCAATAAAGCTTTACAGAGTCTTTTGTTGGAAGTGATCTCGTACCCCTGTTGTATATACTACTAAGGACATGTACATGTATGGATAAGTCTCGTCATGTTCTCTTAAACATTCAAGTCTGTACATGTTTCGTCTTGGTCTGTTGCACGCAAACCTCTCACCACCTCTGTAGCGCCATACAGCCGTCCAAGGCCACATGACTAACAACACACCGGTAATAATGCACGAGTTCACCTACAGTCTTGATGGGAAAATATCGTCTGGTCTAGGGGCAGACAACATAACCTACATCATCTTCACTTCACTTCAGCCTGATTATTTAGTGGAAGAACCACCGACACCCTGCCATTCAAAGCATATATCAATAAGCGATTCTCTCTGTATGTGACAACAATATCTGAAATCTCTATTTCGAGTAGTTCCTTCTTGATGTATAGAGCTCCATTAAAGAATTTTTACTGAATACCCTTGGTATATTGTTTGAGTGAGACAGAAGTCAGATACACTCAAATGCACGAGACTTATTTTGCGATAGCGCAGTGCTTATATTTACTTATATACTATTGGGTTTCTACATTGGTCATGCATATTCACATGAAAGCAACAAAACATTGCCAACTGAGAATTGCTATTGTGTTGTAACTTTCTTTTCCTTATCAAAAATGTTCCTTATGTTATACCCCAACTTGTGTGAGACTAAACATTCAGTTATGATGACATATATGAATAATGAAAGCACGGTTACATGTAAACAACAACAACAGGTTGAATATATATTATCGCTATAGGTATTCTCTGTCGTAAATAAGGACGGATAAAGGAAGGTTTACAACACCTAATGTCAGACAAAACATTATCAAAGCTTCAATTTCTGCTTATGTTAGGATGTTCTGAGACATCATGACTTATGTAAACAAACGTGTGTGTGCCTGTCCTTGTATTTGATGGCTGTATTGTATCGCAGCAAGCTTACATTATCGAAAACACCATATGTCCTATATATTTGGTCAGGCTGACCTACTAAGTTGGGTAAACAAGGGACGTAGCTACCATTACGAAAAAAGTATCCCGGGCTTACACATGATTGTTGCTACTAAGGTTGGACAAGTCCTGAATAATATCTAAATATAAAGCTTTGCAACCTATAGGGCTTACACGAAGAAAAATGGCTTGCTACGCGCCCGTAAATGTGTAAACAATGGAGCACTACACGCTAATGACGACATGTACTCAGATGTATTTAGGCGTTGTCGTGGTTGCACGCTAATGACGACATGTACTCAGATGTATTTAGGCGTTGTCGTGGTTGCACGCTAATGACGACATGTACTCAGATGTATTTAGGCGTTGTCGTGGTTGCACGCTAATGACGACATGTATGCAGAAGTAGTTGGGCGTTGTGGTTGCACAATAATGATAACATATTAATGATGAAACACAGGCTGGCTTTACAGCCAATTATTCAAACACAGAAAACATATTTTCATTACAGGTCATTAAACATAACTATACTTATAAGAAAAATGGAAGATTTTACTGTCTATTTATTGATTTCTCTAAAGCTATTGATTCTATAAAGCATGATGTCCTTTTCAAAAGTCTTAATGATGATGGTATTTAAGGTAAATTTCTTGACATTGTTTTATCAGGTTATTTCTGAGTTATGGGGGGTTAATTCTTGCAAAGAAATTGAGAAGATACAGGCTAATCTTTGTAAATGTTATTTACAGGTTGGTCGAAAGACAACAGATTGCATGGGTGTCAGAATCCAACTCATGGCTGTATATATGAATAAAACTATGAAATATTGGTGTAGACTTATTCATTTAGATAACTCAAGACTACCTTTCCGGTGTTATGAGGAGCTGAAGTCACTTAATAATGATAAAAGTTCTAATTGGGTCACACACATAGAAAACATATTACTTAGGTATGGATTTAGATTGGTATGAATATCACAGGAAGTTGGAAATGTTAAATATTTTATATCCTTGTTTAGGCAGACACTTTGTGATAACCTTCAGCAAGAACGATTGAATGATTTATCGAACTAATCAAAGTGTAGGTATTATAAACAATTTAAGTCATTACTGAATGTTGAATCTTATCTCACATGTAATTTTCCATTAAGACTCAGATGCACCCTATCAAGATTTCGATATAGTAATTTTGGTTTGACTGTAGAAATTGAAATAGAAATTGTACTCTGAAAGGTATTGTCCATTTTCTAAATTGAATAAGGAATTATATATCGAAGATGAGTACCATGTTATGTTTATCTGTAATAGTTACAGTTCACTTAGAAAAACTTACTTTGTAAATTTACACAGAAAGATTGTCAACCTGTACAACACTTTGTACATTTGATGTCCTCAGCAAATAATAATAATATTTATAAAGCATGTCATTATCTGGAGAAAGTCCAAAGATTAAGGAAAGAGATAAATATTACTTCAGTACTTTGCACATGGGTCAGACATTCTGTAAAGACTGTATTTTGGGTCTTTCGGCCTTTCACTTAAATACATCTGTCTGTCTGGAACGTTATCAGTAAATGAAGTATTAATTCGGGGTGGGAGTGTCCTTTATTCCAAAATAGGACGAGCAATGCGATATGCTCTGATGTTATTGTGAGAAATATAATTTTCATAAAAATTACTAATTTTAATAAATCGATAAAACATTAATTATCCCATGACATTGATATAAACTGTCCACCTGTCCCGGGGTAAGCATGTTACCCATTATTATAAACCCTTCGATATTTCTGCGTGAAACCGCAAGCACACGCCAAGGAAGTGTTAAACTGGTGCATTTTGCCATTGTAGGGTTTGACAATTAAGTACTTCTGTTTGCTTTTGTTTGTTTTATTCTCAGATCACCACAATAAAGACGGTATATTGCTTAATGTAGTGTTGCGTAAACAACACACCTTATCGGTCCGGGGATATCAATTGTAAAAATGTCAGTTCAATTACAATAGTTTAAGGTTAGCATCTCCAGTGTCAGGATTGATCCAAAAATAATTAATAGCAGTGTCTGCAGCTATCACCGCTTTCTAATTTCAAAACAGTATCATTTCATATCATAGCAACCTTCGGTAGTTTACAACTTTTATATATTCTAAATATTACGACCTACTCATAATAATGATATTTCTGAGTGTGATGAACAAATAATGTTATTACTTTATACTTACAGCTGTCGAGCTGTCTGTGCCGTTGCAGATGTGTGCGCTCTGTCGCTGGGAACGGGTACCCTACCCTCTAAGGCGCAGATATCGCATGCATGAAACCGAGGCTGATAACACCTTTTATGGACCTGTTTATGCGCAGTTGCTATTTGACGAACCGTGGACACAGATGTGTAGCGAGGGTAGCAGGAAACAGGTAAGTTTTCATACTGAACGTCTTTCAATATGTTCTCTAAATTTACTTTTTACATTCACTCTCCCTCTCCCCACCTCTTTCTCTCACCGACACCGACACCAACACACTGGTGGCTTTCTGTGGAATATTTCGGTCCCATGTCTTCTGGAAGAAAAACAGTAGTGTATCTGACAATGGCGTAACTATCACAGTATATTGAGTTGATGGGAAGATTCGTACATACACACACGCATGCACACGTACATGCACACATATATACACACATACACATACAGGCAGACAGGCAGATACGCATACACGCAGACATGAGACTCATACACACAGACACATGCAGGCAGGCAGGCAGGCAGGCAGGCAGGCAGGCACGCACGCACGCACGCACGCACGCACGCACGCACGCACACACACACACACACACACACACATACATACATACATACATACATACATACATACATACATACATACATACATACAAACAGACATAGACATAAACGATGTTGACATAAAAATGTTGTAGTTTTCAGGATGTCAAAGGTTTCAACCGGACCAGTGACATACAGGAGCATCGGAATGAATGGACAGAGCGACATGGGTAAGTCGGAACACATGTTTAGTATTGTTGACCATAAACCATCTCCAGTGATGAGAGTGCATGATATGTCCTTGACTTCAACCACAGTTCATACTAGATGCTGAATAACAAGTTCTTCTATCTGTGCTATCTGGGCGGTGTGGTAGCCTGGTGGTTAAACCGTTCGCTCGTCACGTCGACGTAGACGTTCGATTCCCCACATGAGTACAATGTGCGAAGCCCATTTCTGGTGTCCCCCCGCAGATATATTGCTAGAATATTGCTAAAAGCGGCGTAAACCTAAACTCACTCACTCACTATCTGTGCTGTGGGATTATTGTTACATGTCCATGTCAACTCACATTTGTCTTACAAGGTCGTCACTATATGGCTGGAATAATGCCGATGTGACGTAAAGCCCAACTCAACTCAACTGTCTTACAAGGGACTGATGCCCGGCAGTTCACTTTCAAATAAGAGTAAGATGAAATGAAAGTATTATATATAGAATACAATATCCACCACACGTCACCTACAAAGAGTGACATTTATCTTTCAGAGAGAACACTGAGAGAGAAAACTGTCATCATCCCTGAGGGCGAACACGGCACAATTCGAGAAGAATTCTTCCAAAATGTGATACGTTACAGAGCGAAAGGATCAAAGCTGAGGGAGGATGTCCCCTTCATCGTCATATATCTATGTTCATCTCGCATTAAAGATGAAGAGGGACTCATTTTTGACAAATTAAGAGGTAGATCATTTTCACAAGTCTGTCAAGTGTATAGACTAGTATTTCAACAGAATGAAAAGAGTGATTGCTTCCACATGTTGAATGAAGGCTTAGTACTACAGTAAAAGTCGATATATATATTTGAACAACATAAATATAAAATGACTACCATAATTTGATCCTGTTAGAATGACGATTGTGTTAGTTTATAAAATTGACCCCTGTTCCAGAAAACTACAATTGATTATAAATGTTTATATATTTTCTATCACATAATCATATTTCTCCCTCAGGTTTGCTTTCGGCTATATTGATCATTGCATCAGTTGGAAAGGCTTCTGAAGTAAGCATCGACCTTCCAAGAGACTTGGAATCTACCGTCAAAGACATCTTGCGTCTTTTCATAAAAAATGGACAGATTCTCAACGATGACATGGACAACAAATACATGTTTCACCGTCTGCTGTTCCACTGTTGTCAACTGGAGCGTGGTTGGATAGATTATATAAAGGAACATTGGATTAAAATCGCCATTGGTGGCGGTGTCGTGTGTTCGATAATTGTGATAGTGGCACTTACAGCATACTTTGCGTAATAATATGCTTACGAACGAAAGCTCGAAGCTATGCAGGTCTCAGATTTTTAACTTTGCTGGGTATGGTGCCGGGATTCCAACCTCCGGACATGGGTTTCTGGTGTGCCCACAGAACTCAGCACATCGACCTGACGTAGATTACTTTATTAGTATTATAGGATATTTATATAGCGCACATATCCACGCAACTAGTACATGGTCAAGGTGCTTGTATGTTTCCCCCCTCGACCTTTAGATGTCAGTCTCGACGGCACATCGTATTATCAATCTCTTGCAGCCACTTGGCGCACCGAGTTATGGCAGCTTTCACCTCTTACGAGGTACGAGGAGTGTACTGTACACTAGGGGTTGTGACAACACTGAAAGAGTCTGCACACAAAGTTGACTCCAAGGTTTTTACACCCAGTCACAGGTGATCACTTGCATGGTCACTCTGGATCCCTAGCCCTTAGACGATGACTGGGTCATCCGTTTTCCAGGCAGCAGATAGACTACAAACTACAACACTACCGCTGTGCCCAAGCTACACGGGTAATGTGACACGAAAGCTCTCACTAATGCATGCTTTTCAACGGATCGGGACAATGAATAGATAGATAACCAATATCGTGTTCACGTTGATTATTATCCAACAGCGGGGCCATCGGTTACACTCCGCTGCATTTGAACAGAGACCATATAATAGAGGTCTCTGATTTGAAGTAACACTACTTCGAGAATGTCACCACCCGTCGTGACTGATTCTAACAATGTTTTTCCAGGCATGTTAATGAAACCGCTTTGTAGTTATAGCACTGGCAACATGAATGTTTAATAAACAAACCATTTACAGTTGTGTTTTGTCATTAATATGATTTTGTTTTTCTACCATATGGGTAGAAGAAAGAAGTCATTGTATAGTTAATATTTCAACATGACATTCGTAACATATACTACAATTCTGCTGTCGAAACAAGTATCTCCATTTACATTTCAAAGGAGGTCCAGTGAGACTGTACAATCCTGAAACTTAAGGAAGGGAAAATTATACTGTTGATCGACTTGAGATAGACTATCGACTTTTCGACATGTGTAGTGACACTGTACAAGAAGTTTGGATTTTCTCACTAGGTCCGATTTGTCGTGGAATTGTTTCTGCTTGTTTCCCATCACAGAATGTGGTGTTGATATCATTCGTCACCACTCGCCCCTTTCCGTGAACTCCAAGAAGACTCGTCCCCCTCTCGATGCTTGTTATGTGCGAAAGTACGACAAACCAATCAGAACGCGCGTAAATGATTGCGGTGCTTTGGTAAAAATAATCCCGAGTACTTAAATCATTTATGGCATTATGTCATTGTTTATAAAAACATGAAAAATATATTATCGTCACATTGAAAGTACAAAGAACTTAGCAAACAGGATTTTGCTGCCTGGTATGAAGTTTTCGATAAGAATCATGCGATTGACGGTCAGAGATTCAAATACACGCACGTGCGTTTGTTGACATTACGGCTCTCACGTTTCCAACTGAGGGTATTTCTGACGATCTTGCAGGCTTGCTATGTAGATTGTACGTGCGCTTCCAACAATTTTAGGAACTGTAATTATAAATCGCTACGAGTTTCAAAACAATAATATTAGACATATATCTGCATGTAACTAATCAAATTTAATCTTTAACATATATTTCACATCTTTGGGAATATTTTTAGTCTGACTGTATTTTTGTGGTCATTCATATATTTTTCAGCGAATTCATTCAAAATTCAACTTGGGGTATGACAGCAAGGTTACACGAATGTTCAGTTTGAGAAATATTTTAAAGTCATTTGTGAGTTTCTGCTTTCGGATTTAATGTAGCTTTAGTAATGTTATTTACATATTAAATAAAACAAATCCCATTTGTGATTATCAAACCCTATTTAGAAATATAATTCGAAAATTGAACATCTGGTAATTACGTCAGAATAAGTCTGTAACAAATAAGTTTTTCTCCTTCTTTTAGTTGTATCAAAAAGGTTTAATTCTTTAAAAACATAAACAGCAATACAATGTATGATTACTTCGGTGATATTAAGTACCATTGGAATCAAACAAGAATAGAGTTATCGTTCTTGTTAAAAGTAGTTCTGATGATCATGCGCCAATATATGAAATCCTTCCAGAAGGTCACGAGTCGCTATTCAGCTTGTCCCGGAATAACACGAGTTGGTCACGAATGGTGTTGATATCAGCAGGAAGATAATCAAGTGTGTCTGAACCAGTGTTTGTACTAAGTTTCACCGATATCATGTGTTTGTTAAGTGCACATTTAATGATGTTAAATCTTTCCGTTGCCGGATTAGAACCTGGTTGGCGTGGAGGTATTCTTTAGGAATGTATTTCAATTGTATCTATGAACTGTGGGGCAGTTCTTGTGGCCAGCCATTGGAAGAAGATATTGTCTTCAGTGAATCTGACGTCTTTTTAGCGTTATAACATTTGTAGGCTCTCACGTGTTGCTTCACGGATATTAACACATATTAATAGTTCTGAATTAACGTGGATCTTCAACAGCCCTTCATGAATCGAAGGCCAAGTTAGAAAAACATCCTGTAAGAAGATAATTTGTATTTCGACGAATGCGTCGGATTTTTCCCTTTTGGAGATGCTACATTCCATTCAGGAAAGAACAAAGCAGTGTACTTGCGGAAAGATTAATATTTATCACTGCTCACATAGATAAGAAAAACACTTCCTTATCTAAGGACACTTGATTAACTTACAGTCATATCGGTAAATACAATGCTACTGGGATACGTTTCCTTAAAGAGAACAAGGGAATGAACAGAGCAATGTAGTATGCATTGATACTAACGTGACACACATAACACATTCTGATATATCTATCAAAGTCTATATAGCTGGGACATTCAGGAACAATGTTTTTAATTCTTTTCCCCCCCTGAAGCATTATAATCACAATCCATTTCTACTGAATTATTACATAACAACAAATTTATGGCTTCTGCAACCGGCTCTGTTAATGTTTAAATTCATGAATTGTGGTTTTTGACAGCAATTGACAATGGGAACCTGGAGATTCTGGAACCTTTGTTGGGATGAGTCTCATGCGGGACTCGCCAGCACACAAGTTAGACTCCTAGTCTGCTCAATAGTGCTAAAATCTGTACTTTACTCAGAAAGTGTAGTCCCAAATATACACAAAGAACTTAATTAAGCACCTCTTCTATAAAACCTCTCATGGTGACCACGATAGAAATTGAGTTTTTCTGACCCGTATGATCATTTGATACATACAAAACCACAAAATGATTGGAATCCATATTGATTTTATGATGATAATTGCTCATTTAAAAAAACAACAACACTGATTTTAATGCAAAACCATGTCCATACAAGTATGGCCCTGGAATGTTTAATATTCAATTTATTGGTGAATGTGAATTTTCAAAATGTCATGTTTGCGTGTCTTACACGATTCAAGGTCAATACCGAGTGTAACCTCCATGTGAGTCAGCACTCTCCTCCTCATGCCCCCTGTCAGTCTCCTGATCCTCTAAAAGGGCAGTCTATGCCATTCCTCGTGTATAGCAGCTACCAATTGGGCCAGGTTCTGTGCAGGAGGATCCATTTATTGCACACGACGACCAATCATGTCCCAAATATGCTCCAAAGGGTTCAGATCGGGGCTCATTCAATCCTGAGACATGTCAGGGGGTGCTTAACTACATTCTTTGTGTATATAACGTATGTTAGATTTGACCGCTTAATAATTGGCATTGTGTATTCATATGTGAAACCTTACTTTCCACACAGATCCGCATCACAGGCAGACAAAACAAAGACTGACACAGGCCCAAGGCGATTTACTTGTAATACTGCATTTTAAAATGTTAAAACAATCTTGGCGTTGTAAACACAAATGCAAAAGAAATTGTGTTGTTGTGCTGGCGAAAGTTTCAAATAAATATAGTGCAACATGTTCGAATAGCTGCCATCTTTTGACTGAATATTTAGACGCTAACAGGAATATACATACAAGTATTTTTAGAAATTATATGACATAACATGAGAAGACTGACGTCAGGTAGTAAAGTAAGACAGTTTATGGGTTCTGCCCTGAACTGTTCCTGAAAACCAAACTACAATCTATAGAATAAACTTGACTCACTGTGATGCGTGAAGTTATGTGCGAAATTGATGAATTCTTTTATGCCAACATATGTTGAAATAATTTATATTACTCCTGAGACAGCATACACCGATAGTACGATGCATATCGACCACTGAACGATCACAGGACAGTACTACTGACACAACATACAAAGATAGTGATGCATATCGTCCACCGAACGGTCACAGGACAGTACTACTAAGACGTCCCTAGGTGATAGTGATGCATATAGTCCACTGACCGATCACAGGACAGCACTACTGAGACAACATACACCGATAGTACGATGCATATTGACCACCGAACGATCACACACAGGGCAGTACTACCGACACAACATACAAAGATAGTGATGCATATCGTCCGCTGAACGATCACAGGACAGTACTACTGAGATATCATACGCCGATAGTGATGCATATCGTCCACTGAACGACCACAGGACAGTACTACTGAGATATCATACGCCGATAGTGATGCATATCGTCCACTGAACGATCACAGGACAGTACTACTGACACATCATACGCCGATAGTGATGCATATCGTCCACTGAACGATCACAGGACAGTACTACTGAGACATTATACGCCGATAGTGATGCATATCGTCCACTGAACGATCACAGGACAGTACTACTGACACATCATACGCCGATAGTGATGCATATCGTCCACTGACCGATCACAGGACAGTACTACTGAGATATCATACGCCGATAGTGATGCATATCGTCCACTGAACGATCACAGGACAGTACTACTGAGACATTATACGCCGATAGTGATGCATATCGTCCACTGAACGATCACAGGACAGTACTACTGAGACATTATACGCCGATAGTGATGCATATCGTCCACTGAACGATCACAGGACAGTACTACTGAGACATTATACGCCGATAGTGATGCATATCGTCCACTGAACGATCACAGGACAGTACTACTGAGACATTATACGCCGATAGTGATGCATATCGTCCACTGAACGATCACAGGACAGTACTACTGACACATCATACGCCGATAGTGATGCATATCGTCCACTGAACGATCACAGGACAGTACTACTGAGACATTATACGCCGATAGTGATGCATATCGTCCACTGAACGATCACAGGACAGTACTACTGAGACATCATACGCCGATAGTGATGCATATCGTCCACTGAACGATCACAGGACAGTACTACTGAGACATCATACGCCGATAGTGATGCATATCGTCCACTGAACGATCACAGGACAGTACTACTGAGACATTATACGCCGATAGTGATGCATATCGTCCACTGAACGATCACAGGACAGTACTACTGAGATATCATACGCCGATAGTGATGCATATCGTGCAGTAAACGGTCACAGGACAGTACTACAGAGACATACGCAGATAGTGATGCATATCGTGCTGATCGATCACAGGACAGTGACGGTGACGATGGTCTGCCCACCGTGTAGGTATTATACCTGACAACCACCAGCAGCGAAACCAGTGCAATGGCGAGCCATAAGTCCTCATCTTTCTGCCACTGAGCACGTTTTGGACATGATCGGGAGTCTAAACCTATTTAACCTTAATTACCCAGTTGATATTATTGTTCGCATGGACATGAAGTAAGCTGAGACTGAGAGAAAAACTAGATAAGTACTCATTTCAATGTTTCACTTGAAACAATTATAATGCAAACTAAGAATGGGGATATTTGTGTTTTATTTCAAAAGAGATACATGCTTGCTTGGTTTCCATTACCTATTATAACAAATGGTATGGTAACATTAAAATGAATTTGAATCGCAATAAAGCTATCCTTTTCTCACGGCAAATGGATGGACAGGAGAAAAATCAGACCTTTCATCATGTCCTTGAGTCATACATAGTTTAGGTGGCCCCCAAGGGGAAGGCAGATCATGAACACAATAGTGACAAGCACCACAAACACGGCATACACTCGAAACCACATGATGTCCGACATCAGGGCAATTTCTTGCCATGAATAGAATGATGCATCCTTCGAGAACGCTTCGGTGCCCGGTTTATCGGCCTGGCGCTTGCTCGGATTTTGGTTCATTTCTGTGTCCTCGTAGGGAACGATTTTCACCTTTGAAGATGAGCTCGCTTTCTGTACGCGCTGCTCCGGGGTTTTCCAGCCGGCCATGTTCAAGAGGACGGTGGAGACAAAAGCTCTTGCTGTTTTGGAGACGGGTGGCTTGGACCGTTTGTGAAACAGGTGTATGTTGATGACGGTGATGACGGTCGTGCTTGCTCCAACAAACAAGATAAGTGCCAAATATATACCTTGAAAGAAGTGAAACAAGAGATGTGTCACCATATGTCAATCAACAATTATTTGAGTTAATTTAACAAATATAGCTGCATTGCTGTCATACTTACCTGGCAAAGTGACGGGTATGCTACACATGGCATCAAGAATTCCTGTATGACATATTACGATCCTGAATTCTGACAAGTGCACAAGCGCTATGGAGACCATGAGGTTGATAATGCGGAAATAACCAAAAGTTAAATAAGGGTTTTTTTAAAGTACGTCCTTTAAATGAATAATATAAGGATTCGAATTATCATACTGTGACGGCGGTTGTTATGGAGGTACAGTAGGTTGGGTACATCAAGCATCATGGTGACGTAGTGATCAAGCCTATTGCGTGGAATCTCTCTGTCCAACACTTGCCGAGGACGGAGGTGGTAATGGAGGTACAGTAGGTTGGGTGACACCAGGCATCATGGTAATGTAACAAATATACAAATAATAACAAATTTCCGATCTAACCATCCCAAAATTAGCCAACCATTACGACTGTCAACAGCTGTGACAGCCAAGCATGGTTGTACGCTTGGTCCGGTCTAGAAAAGTCATATTTGACGGTCGCCCAATTTGGAACCAGAACTGGTTTTTGAATATGTGCTTGTCACCACACTCCGCCACAGCGATGACATAACATAACATCACTGCCACAGGCTAATTTGCATATCACCTGACCGGACTTTTCTCTTGTTTGTAATCAAACGCGCATATTCATAATAAGAAGAGACTGGACTCACGAAAGCTTTTCGGCGCTCTCTTCATATTGTTTGACATTGTTACATATATATTCTTCCACAACTGCGACAGTAAGGTCTATGACAGTACATATTTAGAAGTCAAACTGGCTGCATCGTTTTCTCTCCATCAGCTTCGATGACAGCACGTGGAGCCGTACAACCTATGTTAACAAAGGATCGCTACGCAAATCGAAATAGTGTTACATGTTTTTGGATATTTTCTCAGTGAAACTTAACCTTCCTATTAAAGATGTTTAGTTAGATGTGTAGACTCGTCAAAATAAAAGAGTAAAAGAAATCTGTACCTTATATTGAATGGACGATGCAAGATGTGACGAATCGTCACATTTTTCTGGCCTGTGGCAGAGATACTATGCTGGCTTGCCGCATGGAACTCTGGGTTGGAGAGTGGCTTGTCACCGGAAATCTGGTACCGGAAGTAAGCTGGGCCCAGTCTTGCATATCGCAAGTTGTCACACTCAAAGGGAGCCGGGAACCAGCTTAGTACCGGAAGTAGCGACTCGCGAGACTTACAGGCCCTATTGCGAGTCATCTCTCTGTTCAACACTTACCGAGGACGGAGACGGTGATTGAGGTGGGTATGGATGTTTTCTGACACCAACAACATCAGCACGGCGTAAGACAGCAGGACGGTGAGGGCGTAGCTCACCTTCTCCCCCGACTCGAAGGGCAGGGTGAAGGTGATGACGCTCAGGATAGAGGTGAGGGCGATGGGGAGGATGATGCTAAGGATGTAGTAGGTCACACGCCGCTGTAGATGGAGGGTAAAGTCCAGCTGGGAGAACGTCCCTTCAGCCTCTACCAGGGTCTTGGGGGTCACTGAGGTGGACTGTAAGTACCAAATGGTGTTTGATAAGAGGTTATCTGTTGAGATTCCGGTTTTGATTAGGTTCCCAATATGTCCTGAACTCACTGTGAAGAGAGCTGACAAATGGGAATCGGGTGGCCATGTTCAGAGACATGTCTGATTAGTGCTGAGATTTTCAACCACTGGTTTGTCCGGTCCAGACTCGAAGGTCTACCGGCCGACGTGATAAAACCCATATGTTGTCGACGTTAAACTTCACTCAATGTTATACCGAGTACAGAGCAACAATCCTAACTGAGATTCCAACGCACAGGACGCCAGTAGAAGATGAAGCATTGATCTTCTAAATTACTGTTTCATATGTTTTCTTATTACTTATTTAAGATTAACTCTAATATGTCGTTTTCAAAACACATTAATCACTATTGCATTAAACCTGGCCGTGGATCACATATTACAGCCCTATCACTGGGTGTCAGCGTATTGTTACAGTAAATCAGTCAGATCTACCACTGTGCTGACTAACCAGGGATCATAATCGGGGGAATCTTGGATTCTAGGCAACGCCCTTGGTGCAGTTCGAATTGAGACCACTACTGGGCAACGACCTAAGCTACGTCCAGCAAATTGCAGCACCTGATATTTTTACCTCAAATGCTATTATTGATCCCCTTGATAAGAGAGGAAAAATTCATTGAGTTTCAGAATACTTTTGGCAATGTTTGGCGCATAGGTTCATGGAAAATGTTATTGGCACAAGGTATTGATGACAAGCGTATTCGAACTATTCTTATCATGTAAGATGGCATTCATTCACGTGTGTGTTCAAAACGTGTATAGGGGCGGTGAGGTAGCCTCGTGGTTTAAGCGTTCGCTCGTAACGATGAAGGCCCGAGTTCGATTCCCGACATGGATACAATGTTTGAAGCTTATTTCTAGTGATACATCCATGATATTGCTGGAATATTGCTAAAATCGGCGTGAAACCCAACTCCATCCCTCGCTCACTCACTCAAAACGAGTATACAATTTCCATGACTTGTCGGTGTCCGGCAAGGGGGAAATCGGTCCTCAGTACCATTCGACCTTGACCTCGACCTCGACGACCCGGCCGGTGTGAGATCAAAATAAGAGATCAAATAAATCAAAAGATTACATTGAAAGTAAGCTTTCAGCTGCTTGTAATCCCGACATATGACACTTCACGTCAGTTGTGGGCGCACACAAATCTATATTGATATTTGCATATACACTTTGTATACCTGAGGTAACGACATTGCGGACATAACGAGAATCTTACATCGTAGTTATTGGAAATTCAGTGTCTACGATTCGAAGAAACGTTTCGACTTGTGGGGTAGTGTGAAAATGTGAAACCTACCAGCCTGGCCACACTCCGGCGATGGTAAATGTAAATATTTTCACGAGAGCTTCACAAAACCGTTAAACAACGAAAGGCAATGACATTGCCAGGCAGATAGAGACGTTGTAGACAGTGAGAGACCGAGAGAGAAGACTGAGTGTGTATGTGGGTTATTTCACGGCCACTCAGCGATATTCAAACCATATGACAGCATCTTACATAATAACCCACTGAGCAGCAATCCACTCTACCGGAGAGGGTTGGTTCGCCTTCAACCAAGTCAAGTAAGTCGACCGTTTGTTGCCATGCTATTGGGGTCAATTTGCAAACAGAAACAACCAGTATCTTTCACCCAGCGGTTCTGATGGCCTATGTCGATGAATACAAAAACTCACACAAGCAAGGTCAAAAGCGCTATTACTTTGGGGGACCAGTGTTCAACATTCTCTCTATCGATTCGTAACAAGATGTTTGAACGGCAAAATGAGCGGATGTAAAGTATTTTGTTATGGGTTTCAGTCTGATTACCTTGAGATCCCATTCTCCATTTTCGCTGAAGTCGCCCGAGAAGACTTCAGATGACAATTGTGTGAGATTAACTTCGTGGATGTTATAGCTCCAACTCGTGAGCTCTATAGTGCAGGCCTGGCGGTCAAAGGGGTAGTACGTGACGTCAATGTCGCAGGACGTAGAGAACAGCCCTGGCGGCTCCCATGTCACTTCCCCGGTGTGCTTGACACGTATCAGAAGGTCATCGTCCTCTATGACGCCGATTTGCATTAACTCTGAAAGTGAGAGGAGCAGGTGTATGACGCAGGAACAAGCACGTAGAACTGGAAAATGAAACTTGATCAAACTGTGCAAACGTAACATAAAATGAAAAGAAATCTCCAATAACTTTTAATTGAAAGATGTTTTTTATTGAATGTTTGGATAATAATTGAATAAAGATATTTGAATGTTAAAAATAAAAAACAAGTCATTATCATTTAGGCAAAGAAGACATATCCTCTACATAGTCGTGAAGTATCTTCTACGTTTGCACTACATTCATAGCACCATATTTAACACTACACAATAAAGGTCTCGTTGTATACACACATTATGTTGTTACAGTTGTATGTATGGGGCCGCAAAGAATGGAATGATATTTATTATGTCAAAAATGTACCCTGGTACATGGACCTCAACAACAGAGAGAACTGCAGTAATCAGAGTTTGCCTTACGCATTGTCAATGACTACTTCCGGTCGCCAGATGACCTTCTCTGTGTCAAACAAGTACGTGACATTTCCATGTGATGCCGGTGTCCACTGCAGACGTGGATCTGTCCATTTCTGAAGTAAGAACATCACATTGTAGTGTAATTTGAAAGTTGACGGAGTCAGGGAGCTTGACGCCTGTGACAGTGTATGTGACTTCTGCCTGCTCCACACTGAAGAACATTTAACACATGTGGTGACATACTAGGCAGGAGACTTTGTTCAAACTGGTCCTCTATTCACCCAGCAGTGAATGGGTGAGATGGTAACAAGAAGCGTTTGTCGAATACTCCTAGTGGAACTGGGACAGAACGTTGACCGTTGACACATTAAGAATATGCACATTATTATTGTTGTTATTACTATTATTGTTACGGGTTTTGTTAATTGGTATATATGTAATCTGGTTAGTTTCACAACATTGTGGTCAACAGATTTAGTATTTTTTCTAAATTATTACAGTTTTCTATTCTGGTCTAAAACACCCGTGACGTCATCTCGTTGTTCTTCAGGTGGGATCATACATGTGATAGGTGATGTTACCATTTCCTAGAAATACTAGAAATACTAGCTGCATTTGGAGACAGAGTGCCCTGAAAGACGGGTGGTGTAACAACTCAGCTACACAATGTCGTAATATGGGTGATGTTGTGCCGAACGTTAAGGTCAGCAAACAATTGGTACAACAGAACTACCATTACACAGTGGTTCTCTTCCTGTCTGTGGCCTTTTCATCTCAGTCATGGTCTATCGAGCCGAGGTTCGGGGGAACTGCCGACCAATACTCAAATGTTTGTTACAACACGTGCAACATGTGGGCGTGCATTGAACTACACGTGACGTCATTTCCTTGGAATTGCACAAAAAGGTTAGAAGATGATCTTGACCGATGTATTTCAATCTGACATTAACAATTATGGTTTGTTTTCTTCCCATGACTTGGGATATTACCCAATACCATTACACTCATCCACGCACACCCAGGAATTGTCCGTGCTGTAAATGTTGAAGTTTGTATCGATTCCGTAGTTCTGTCAACGGAATAAGTCTGTCTTGCTTACGTGCTCAGTAGAAAGTCGTGAGTCTTGCACTGTTCTCGATAACGTCTTAAAAGAGATGATATTGTGTTTCGATGAACATGTAAATATATAACTCCGTTTTGCACCATTCCTGTTTGTAGCAAACCCGTGGCGGGTACTGGTTGATTTTCAGCGAACCACGGCATTGGGTAAGCATTATCAACCGTTAAAATGAACTGTATCTATGAGCACTTGGAAGCTTTCTTGAGATTGTTTCTGCTGCTGGGTTTTAGACCCCCTCACATCAAGTGACATTTCGCTAATTATTTTCAACTCGATACAACTTTGAACACTGTTGCCTCACGAAGCCACGCTTTAGAGTGTTATAAATTATTGTCAGTGTAGCAAATTATTTTTTTCTGCAAAGTCTTAAGTTGAAACTAAATGATTCAAAAGGACAAAACTGTTTTCTTCGTTTTTCAATTTCAATTTCAATTTCTTTTCTTTCTTTTGTAGAGCAAAGCTGATAGCGCGTTGTGTTCACTTGCGAAATTGACAGGTCGCCGATGCAATACAATTCAGTGCAGATGTAGAAGTGTATGTGTATTTCAGTAAATATTCCCCTAGTTATTGATGGTCCAGGAAAGCATTTCTTTCATGTTCTTGATACATCTACCTCTGAGGAACTGATGAAACTTGATCAGTTTTACGTCATTGGGCGTCATGTTGCTTTGATCTACGCACCATCTTGTAGACCTCCGACAGAAACAACGTACTTATGCATTCAAATTCTGTTAAATAGGAAAATCACTATAAGTCTATCAAATTGAAAATACCCGCTTTTAGGAATCTTCAGCGCACCCTGGATTACTGAATAATATAGATATGGGCTGACGTTGTGATACCTCATTTTTACATCGCCATAAGATTAACGTTGTTTGATGCTAACGTATTTTACATTGTCTTAACGTTCTATTTAACGTTAATTGTTGTTTAGTTTCCCAGTACATAAGAAACAAAGCAGCAATTCACTTCAGTGTTTATTCGTCAATAATTATGTGCATGTTATTTTGGTCGTGTGTTTTTGAAGCTGTACATAGCTGAATAGTGAAGAAAGAATCTCAAAGTAAAAGGTTTTTTTACAGAAAACACTCTCGTGACACCCTAGTTTCAAGAAACGTTGTTATAACGGTGAGGAGCCCGAAGCATAACGTTTCCCTAACGTAAATTTGCAACGTTGCTATTACGTTGTGACATAACGTTATAAAATGACGTAATACTAACGTTGTCACAACTTTGTGTCATGACGTTACCAATCTACAACCTTCCCACAACGTTGCAAAAACGTTGTGTGTTAGTTGGGACGTCAGTTGGCAGGTTCCTTGATATCGCACTGGACATATTTTAGACGGTTCCAAGGAAGAACGGTTTCAAGCGACTCGAACCTTAATTAGTCTGAGAGTTGCTAAAATCCCAGTCTAAAGCAAGTGAAGTTATGTCGACTTTTGTGTCCCTATAACGTCTTTATTAAGTTGAATTGGCCATAACATATGCATGACCCTCACAACATCATTTGGAAATAAGTTTGAGTCTAATTTGAAATGCCTTGTGCATTGTCCTTTAACTGACCAACAAACCAGTTGTATAACAAACCGGAAACAACTTACAACTGTAAGCCATCCTGTCGTCGTCATGGTTTGTCCTCTGGTGTTCTGCAAGAGAGGAGTCTTTATTATCGGTGTGTTTGGCAACGAACATGCCGACCAAGCAGCCAAACTCCCAGAGGTTAACTTAAACATACCATTATCTAAAAACGAGATCAAAACAAAAAATCTTCCAAAAGTGGCAAAGTAAATGCCAAAATTAAAATTATTAACTAAATCATCTACTCCAAAAAACACTCACTACAAACACACCTAAGCCCACCAAGTAACACCCAAACCTTCAAAGCCTTATATATACTGTTTATCTATTTATATATATGTAGGTATATTTCTAATCAAAACTGGCCTCCTAGGTCGCATATAATTCCACACAACAAACCCATAAAAGTTCAAATATAAAAAGGCAAAAAACAAATTTAAATAAATAAACTACAAACCACATAACATGAAAAAAAACCCATAAAAACTCAGCTCCCCCTACCAATTCTGGCAAATTTCTAAATTCAAAATTCATACAATTTTAATTATGCAAATCTAACGCCCCCTTCAGAGTGCCATATCTTTCGGTCAAATCACCCCTCATTTGATCAAACACTAAATGACCTGCTGGGCCCGTGTGCGAAATTGGCATTTTGTTGGAAAGCGCAAGTGTAATCTCTAAATCATCGTCCTCAACCGGACAGTGTCTTGTTGTTTCAAAGGTAATATGAAATGTTGTATGACACTTATTCATGAGAATTGTCTCACGAATGTAAATAGTTTTAATAATGGTATGATACTGAGGAAGAATAGATGATTACTTTCACTACATCGCACTACCTTAAATATGATAAAATGAACGTAAATGCACATGTGTATGGAGTGGGATCTTACCAGGTCGTTGATGGTGAGTAGGTTGAACCGTATCTGTGTCTGGACCTGCCTGGAGGGTCGGACAATATGGCTGTAATTGCTTCCTGGCCCGAGCTTCATCATCCGGAGGTTGTATTCATCCTGAGAGAAGGCCTGTTGGGACCTCACCACAGACACACAGTACATCACTGAAAGGGATAACCAGTTATCATTTCACCTTTAAAAGGATCAGTACCAACTTCCGATTTGACTACACGTGTATGATATTGTAATTACCAAAAGAAACCGACACGAGAACGCCATGGAGAGCCATTAATACGATACCCGGGGCCACTATGAACCAGTGTTGTATGCATGGCATAGTGGGCCACGTTCATGCAAAATGGCTCTTTAAGAATAAATGCTGACCGTTTTAAACGATGAACAGTATCAGTCTGCTTAATCAATACACGTGTATAAGACACTACTTCCCTGAAAATAATCAAACGTGTAAAGATAATAGACTTATTTCTGGAATGCTTTTGATGAGGACATTGAAACATGGATGTGATGGATGCGTGGACATGAAGATAGGCGCGCCATCGTGTGTAAGATAACAACCGGCATCTGTGTGTGACTGGTCAGGGTTGTTTTACAACAGCCTTAGATCTGCACGTATGCTGGTATACTTGTCGTGCTGTCCTCAGTTTTGTCAGAACAGCGGTTCCATACAATTCCTAAGAGTAGAAGAAGGATGTATTCAGTATAAAGGCAACAGGCCTAAGTACAGTACAACCAGAAATTATTGAGAATTTAAGATTGTACTTTTTTATTTTTTTCACTCATTACTCACGTATTAAATGTGAATATTAGCAGAACATAACTCCAGATTCAAAGACAGGTGAACAGTTAGTATTTTGTCAAGTCACCATGGGCAGCAATGCAGGCTTCAATGCGGCGGGGTATACTACTTATCAAAGAAGTTAGAAAGGCGTCGTCCATGCTGTCCCAATATCGGACCACCTCTTCTTTCATTTTAGCAATATTTGTCAGATTTTTCTTATTGACACTTTCCTTCATAAGTCCCCAAACATTTTCTATTGGATTTAGGTCAGGGCTATAGCTTGGCCAATCTAATAATGTCATATTTTGGGTCCGAAACCAGGCCTGTGAATGCTTTGAACGATGTTTTGGGTCGTTGATCTGCTGGAAAATCCAAAGATTTCCACAGAACACGTGAGCAGATGGAAGTAAATGTCCCTCGAGAATATCTGTGTAACGCTCACTGTTCATATTCCCTTCAAATACACAGAGGGGCGTTGCCCCTAACACAGATATGCCACCCCACACGATAAATTTCGGACTGTACTTTGGGCGCTGGTTTTTCAGTTTGTTTGGTCCAAAATTTCAGTGTATTAGGAAACAGCCACACAGAACTTTCATCTGAGAAAATCACATTGTCCCAGTTAAAAAAACATTCTATGCTGTAAGCACCAGTTCAATCTTCGCTCCTTTTGTTCAGGTTTCGCCTCCAGTCATCGACAGTCAATTTTCTGGGCCTACCTGGGCCTCCCTGGTGCTCAAAGCCATATCCATTTGCAATATTTTTCAAAACACGATAAACAGTGGACAAAGGGATGCCTGTTCTACTTGAAATCACTTTAGCTGATCTGATGTCCTTGTTATAATACTCTAAAATCAACTTCCTCTTCTCTAAATCATCCATGCTGAGGATCACTGAAAATGTCGTCTGCTAGCAAGTAAACAAAGGGGGATAACTCTTCACAAACTAATGAAAAACGATTAACGGAGTTGTCTCTCTTGAATGAAACCAAGCACTTGATAGCTGGTCAAGGTTGTTTATACTAGAAATCCAATTAAACATATTCCTAAAATTCTCAATAATTTCTGGTCATACTATACAATATGAATGGAAGATGTATACATACAAGGTGCTTAGGTTCGCAACAGCAATATATGTATAACATATATTCACAGCATCTACGTTGAAAACATATACATATACATTGTCCGGGGTAATAACAATCACATTGTGACTGTGCACTTTGAGCATGCGATATACCAGATATGCGCGGTACAAATATGCTATTATTACTATTATTATATACATTGACAGTAATGAGTAACATAGTTTGCATAAATAGCTATAAATTTAGGGTTAGCATTTTGAAGAAGATATATTAGACAATCGTTATTTGCATATTCAATATGTATCATATAGTTTAGCCGCAACCTATTTAAATATAACTCATCTTCTAAGATAGTCTTACAAAATGGACAAAATCCTGATTTGCTAGGTATACCTTTTTTTCTACCAGTATTCTCCATTTTTTTTATTTCACCTAACCTTAAAAGTGATATATATCTTAAATCTTTATTGTCTATTGTCAAGGTATGATTCCATGTTAACTACAGTTGCCCATGACTTGCGTCCATTTTCATCTTTCTTTTTAGCATTAGGAAAGATTGTTAAGGGAATCAATTTTCTTCCATATTTCAAATATTTACACCAATATTTATTACATCTTACAACTGAATCACAGTAGATATTACAACTACCACATTCCTAAGACCATGCATATGAAGACCACCTGTGGTGATTCCGGATATGACACTAGCATGCTACCTGTATCAGGCTCGATAAGTGGTTTCATTACGTGCCATCGTACTACAATGCCTGGCATGTTGATGACAATATCAATCAATGGTTTGTCTTGTCCAGTCTCGAATATTTACAGTCCGACGTCATACACTTGAAATATTGCTGATTAAACAGAACACAAACTATGCATATCTATCAAATTAGCTCTTTGGTTTCTGTCCGTCGGAGATGGTCGACTTCAGCAACCCATGCTGACTAAAGGGATCGGGTGGTCAGGCCCATGTCATTGTATCCCATTAGCCCATATCGATGCTCATGATGTTGATCACTTGATTGCCTGGTCCAGATTCGATTTTTCACTATCACTCTAGAGGCTGAATCATGTTCATTAACTCAATTTTCAAATATCACTCTTGGGGTTGTATTTAGTCGTTCAACTCACTCGACCTCCAACTATCACCTAAAGCTGGTGTTATGTCGTTCATTGAATCTATTTCCAGCTACTTCCCTCTGGGAAATACGACGCCATTAACAGGTTCTTCTTTTATGCAGTAGTCTATTGACGGTACCTTAGGACACACTTTGAAGTTAAATATATGATACAATATACAATGAAATGTTTATCCTTGCAGAGGCATAGTATGTGCATTTATTGACAAGATGTTCACACATTAACCTTCTGCCAAAAGAATAAGTTGATATATTTGTTGGATCGTTAGCTATACAATAATAAAACGTTCCGTATGGATTACCGTCATGGATAGACACCTTTAAAGAGGAACGCGCTCAGCGACTGCACATGAATGCATCACGATGAGATCAATGTTTGCCCGCAAGTGTTTTCTTTGCATTGTCATATATTTGCAAAATGTACCCACGTGCAACACAAACAGTACTGAGAAAACAGTATTATTAGATGCTCCTACGAAATCTAACATGGACTTGTTTTGTCATATGAAATGACTAATTCACCGATATCACTTCATGTGTTCAATACTATTAAAATAGTACCTTGTATACTTCCCGGAGAGTTGAAAGTGAAATACTGTCGCTGATCCATTTGCCGGTGACGTAATGTAGCGCTTTGAGTGTGCGTTATGGAGTAGTCATGGTGCAATAATAATTAATTGTCGATTAATACAAAATCATGCTGCAAGGATCGATCCTGGCACAGACAGGCTGGTTAAGTTCATCACAAACTTGGTTTTACAACTTGGTACTTGGGATATAAGCGTGACGTTTCTTAATCAAAGTCCGTGATATGCCATGTTTCTTGAATCTTGTCAAATGGGACATACAATTCAATGATATATGTTCATTGGCTTAATCAAAAACTCCATGGTCAGGTAGTTCACTAGGGTACGTCTGAGGTCGTAAACGGAGCTATTGCAAATAATTAAATAAGTGTCACTTTCCATGACACCATTACATAATCTGGGTCTTACCATGGATGGACCCCCGAGTCACAAACACAAGCATGACGAAGATGGTGAAATAGGATGAAGCCACGTCATCGTGTCGCTTAAGATACTGTGTCTGTGCCAGTGCTTGGGCATCCAGTGACGTGATCTTTGACATTTTCTTTAAATTCATTACACAGTCGACAATTCATATTTACATTTTGATGCAAAATCTCTTGTGAGTGATCCCTGACAGCAAACAAAGAGCCTTCACTTTCACTATTCAGTCCAGCGACTTCATCCACGTCTCCCCCGCCGTGATGTTGCTGGAATGTTGCTGAAAGTTGCTTAAAGGTAAACTCATTCACTCACTCATCCAAGTCATCATTGGAGAAGGACTCCTCAAGAAGAATCTGTTAGGTCTTTTTGTCAGTGTTGATTCTCCCGTGACGATAAGTTCAAGGTCATCCGTGTACAGGAGGTGAGTAACAGGATTCTGTGGAGGTCCTGGACGATAACCTTCCTCAGTTTCTAGCAAATCTTCAAATATTGAGTGACAAGCAAGACTATATCTCTAATGTAGGAAGGCGGATTATTCCTTATGGCGGAAAAAATCCTGCTAAGTGATATAAGTGCTAGGTGATATATCATTCTAGTGATATTGATAGACGTTGTGTTTGTCAAAGTAGCAGAAAGTCAAACATTGCCCTATACGTTGGAATCGTGTTTCGTTGCTGCAATTCCATTTAAACGTATTATCATTTAATCTTCATAAGAACTATAGGTATTTCATAATGATGTAAACAAAATGTTGGCAATAAGCGCGTTTTTAGCTTTTTTGTGTGTAAAAGTAAGATTTGCTATTTCTATTGCATATTCCTATCCCACATATCCTCTGCTACCTCCCCCTCCCCACTGTTCTCCTCCACTCCTCGTGCCTCCCTCTCACCTTACACATACCAACGACTTTCAAGGAACTTTATCGCAACCAGTTCTAGATGCATATCGAACACAGCACGTAACACACCCGCCAGGTGGCCATGTGAATAGTTGGCTTTTTATTTATATCCCACACTTCACACGGTTCATGGAGTTTTCCCACAGCTTGATAAAAAGCGGGCCAGCGAAATTTGCCAGTTACAGTTAGAAATGAGGGAGTGATCGTCCTAATCTGCAGGTTAGATAT